GTGGTCGAACACTCTAACTTCACCTAATGCGATATATGTATAACGGTCGGCCTACTGTTCATTTTTGCGGTCCAAGTAGGGATTAGAAATGAGTTATACAACCTTGAGACTAGATAAAGCTCGGGCTAGGCATAGTTAATAATCATCCAAAATCCTCTTCTTCATCATCGTCCATTGTTCATCTTATCCCTCTTCTCCAATGAGTGGTTTTTTAATAATAATTCAAAATTGTCTACTTCAAGATCCTCATTTTTTGCCTTATAGTTTCTTATTGATTGCAAACATGACAAACTAAATTAATTCGAATTGCATCACTGCATAAAACGGGGTCGACTAAAAATCAATTTTTTATTTTTTTCAGCGAATTTAGGAAAAAAAACCTACAATTTTTAAGAATATAAAGTCAAAAAAAAAAGAAGATATGTGATCTCTAAATATTTTTTTATGCGTTTTTATGATTTTTACGGTTTTTTAAGGTTTTTTTTTTGTTTTCCATATAACATTCCATATATATATATATATATATATATATATATATATATATATATATATATATATATATATATATATATATATCGTGTTCTCAACCTTTTAGGTGTTCTCATTTGATCTACTCATATATATATATATATATATATATATATATATATATATATATATATATATATATAATAAATGCTTCTTTATCTTTTCTTGCCCCATGTGTTGTCCACTTATGGATTGTGGGATGTTAGCCCCTGTAATCTGTGTTGTTGAGATTATGGTGGTTGTTGTTACTCTGATATTTCCCATATGGCTTTCAGGAATGTTTTATACAGAGCTAGGTTGTTTTGGCTATGTACGCCTTCGTTAAGTTGTTGTGAGGAGTCTTCGGAAAACAACATGACTGAAAATTAGATTGGTTGCACCCACATGACATTGGTTAGCGATGGGACTAATAACCATCCAAGATTTTTTAGCTTTTTTTTTTCTTATTGTGATGAATTTAATTAAAGTTGGATTCGGGTATGGAAAGATGCTTCGTGGTCTGTGGCTTTTAAAATGAATGCATATGAACTTTATGTTATAGGAGCGTTGCAATTGCAACCACAACCGACTACTAATGGTGATTTGTTGCTCAATACTTATTTTCAACGGCTCTATATTTTTAATCCCAAGACGGGGTGCCATCAAGAGTAGTCGACTTCAATGCTGCTTCAACTTTACGTCAGTGTGTCAAAACCCTTCATTTGTTAGTCATGAGGGAAACTATTTGTGAAACGGAAGAACTATGAAGAAAACATAAAATTACATTTTGATTTTCGACACATTTTAATTACGATTTTGGTCACATTGATATAAAAGAGATTATTATTTTTTTTTTAAAATAAAGAAACAAATATGTAATTTCCCACTTATTTCCCAATAAAATTAGATCTTATTGAGGCTAAAGTTGTTGATGATCATGATCCAAAGGTAACAAAATTTTGTTGCCTTTTGTTTATAATAATGTTTTTTCACCATCTTTATCTTTATTCCAAGGTTGTAAAGATGAAAATTTTATAAAACATAAAAAATATATTTCATAAACTAGTACACCATTTTTTTAAAATTAAATAATTTACAACATTAAAAATACATTTCCAAAACATCATTTAAAAATAACTAATTCAAAAGAGGTTTCTTGGGTGAACTTACCTGGTAAGTTCCTCAGCTAAATGAGATGTTTGGTTTAAAATCAAAGAGTGGAAAGTGTAACATGCAATACGATATTTTAAATTCATTGTGGCTTTCAGGATTGTTATACCTAGAGCAGAAGTCGTGGCAGAACATGGCTATCTGCATGTTCGACATTGGCTCGTGGTGGATTTAAAATGTTCGAGCTAGGCTCGGGCTCGACTTGTCTGTGAGACCTGCCTAAGAGCTCGGCTTAGCTAATAGTCAAATATCAAGCTCATTTGTGTTTTTAAGCTTGATAAAAAGTTTGTTTATCATTATTTGATATTTAATATTTAATTATTAGTTATAAATTAATACATAAAATTAAAATTAAAACTTATATTACATAAGTATGCATTGGCTTGTTTAGGCTCGCGAGCCTAATCGAGTTCGAAAGATGAAACTTGGGCTCGAGCTCGTTTAATAAATGAGGCTTAAAACTAAGCTCGAACTCGTTTAATTCGACTCGAGTTGAGCTTTTAACGAGTTAATCCCAAATAGCTCATTAGTAGCAAATGTCATATACGGGTGAAAATGTGAATTTCCATCAAGGAAAACAATCACATAAAATAAAATAAGTATTCTCACAAATACCGGTTTTTTGTTCTAGACTCTGTTTTAGGATCGGACTAGTCCACTTACAAAACTTTATTACTTTCTTAGGCTTGTGTTTTTATGATCGGTTTAAGATGATTTCATGAACATTTGTAGTTTGGGTTAATGAAATAGAAAGGTAACGTAGTTTAGGGTCAGTACACATTAAGGTAACAATATTTTTTTCATATACATTTGTCAATTGAACTTGTTTAACATGTACTTATTAAGGTGATATAACCGATGATCATAGTTTTTTTTTCTGATTTGGTATATTACGTGGCATTATGTTGTATTACGTGGCATTAAATGAAATTACTTAGCATTTTTGACACATTATATGAATGGTAATTGGAATTAGGGCTCATAAACAAAAAAAACCCACCACTTTCATTCCTTCGTTCAGTCGTTCCCCTTTCTCTTCATTCTCAATGTCGAACCTTTGCAATTGAAATCAATTTATGTTTCTTCGTCTGTAATGACGAAGGGATCATCCCTCATCATGGATGTCCACTATAATGGTGTATTTTCCCCCAACCCCCTTGTATATTTCGACCCAAACATTGCATTTGTACAAGATGTCGACTTCAACGCTATGGTATTTTTAGATTTCATTACACTCACACCCACAAACTTAATAACCGGTCCATACGGTGTGTCTTCCTTGGATATCCAGCCAATTACCGAGGCTACCGCTGCCTTGACCCCGATACCAGGAAAATCCATCTTTCTCACCATGTCACCTTCGATGAATCCGTTTTTCCCATCTCCACTCTCTCCAAAACTCCTTCCCATGATTACCAATTCCTTCGCCAAGACACAAATCTTTCATCCACATACAAACATTTCTCCACCCATCCACCCCTATTTCCCCAACACCAACCCACCAAAACACTACTTTTCCTTCTCCATCGCCCCCACCTCCATCAACCTCAACCAATAACCACGATCATAACCCGCAAACACCACCAATTCTGCCTCACCCAATGACAACTAGATCTCGTGTTGGAATCACCAAACCAATTCAACGTCTTAACCTTCACACCACTACTCTTTCTCCCATCCCGAAAAACCCTCAACTTGCCCTTCTCGACCCTCACTGGAATAAGGCCATGAACGACGAGTACAAGGACCTGTGCAATAGTAACACATGGGAACTCGTTCCCAGACCTAACGGTGCTCATATTATTAGATGCTTATGGCTCTTTCATCATAAAATCAATGCTGATGGATCTCTCTAAAGATACAAAGTTCGACTTGTGGTAAATGGGAAATCTCAACAGGTTGGCCTAGACTGTGATGGCACTTTCAGCCCTGTCGTTAAACCCACTACAATTCGCACAATCATTTCTCTTGCAGTATCTCGCTCATGGCCGATGCACCAACTCGATGTCAAAAACGATTTTCTACACGACAATCTTGCCAAAACCGTTTATATGCACCAACCTCCGGGCTTTGTGGATCACACCCGCCCTGACTTTGTTTGCAGGTTACGAAAGTCTTTATATAGGCTCATCAAGCCCCACGGGCTTGGTACCACTTCTTTGCCACATACATCACATCTCATGGTTTTAAAAGTGTTGCCACATATACTTCTCTATTTGTTTATCAGAAAGGGCAAGACACAACATACTTACTTCTATATGTCGATGATATTATACTTACGACATCTTTTGATTATTTTCTACGCAAGGTCACCGACACTCTTTCTCGCGAATTTTTCGTGACCGATTTGGGAACACTTCATCATTTTCTTGGCATTCAAGTTACACGTACCAATCAAGGTATGTTCCTTTTGTAATCTCAGTATGTTAACGTCATTCTTGATAGAGAAAAAAAAATGACAGAATGCAACCCTTTCGGCACACCGGTGGACACTTCTTCCAAACTTAGTGCTAACTGTGTTCAAACGTTCACTGATGGTACTCTTTATCGAAGCCTAGCAGGTGCTCTACAACACCTTACCTTTACGAGGTCGGATATTGCCTATTCCGTTCAACAAGTTTTCCTTTTTAAGCATGCTCCCCGAGAACCTCATTTTAATTTCCTCAAACGAATACTTTGCTATCTAAAAGGAACCGCATACCAAGGGCTTCACATTCACGCATCCTCAAACCTTCGCATCACCGCAAACTCGGACGCTGACTGTGGAGGGTCCCCCGATTCTCTTCGTTCAACATCTGGATATTGTGTGTTTCTTGGAGAAAACCTTGTCTCTTGGTCATCTAAACGGCAGCCAACGGTATCCCGCTTTAGTGCAGAAGCAGAATACAGATGTGTTGCAAATGCCACTACCAAAACAAGCTGGCTCCGCAACCTATTACTTGAACTTCACGTGCCGGTAACAAAAGCAATGATCGTATATTGTGACAACATCTCCGCTGTTTACCTCTCTAACAACCCTGTCCAACATCAACGAACAAAACATGTCGAGATTGACATTCATTTTGTACGAGAACTAATTCAAATTGGAAGAGTTTGTGTCATTCATGTACCGACCGATCATCAATATGCGGAGATCTTTACCAAAGGGTTGCCACGTCACCTCTTCAATCGTTTCAATACCAGTTTGAGCATCTGTCCTCCTCCTGCTCCAATTGCCGGGGAGTATTAGATGTATTATTTTCCCCTGTAATTTCTCTTAATTGATATTGTATTTTAGGTAGTTTGTTAGCTATTGTACCTATTTATGTATCATATCTCTTTCAATGAAAGATCGATTGATTCTACGGAATCCTTTAATCTGCATCTTCGACATTGGCTTTGGCTTTGGCAATGCACGCATTTGTTATGATGTTGAGGTTACAACTTAGATGTTAGAATTAAATTTCATCTTAATTATTGTCGTATTCAATAACTTATAAATACTCCTTATAAAATGTATTCAATGTTTTGATAAGTTTGTTAGGAACTTAGGATGGTATGGTCTAAGTTTCACATAAATTAACGCAATATATCAATATATGTATAAGGTCGGCCCATTGTTCATTTTGGTAGTCCAAAGGCGTAGAACAAAAAACAAGCTGATGGAGAAATATATGGAACAGAAAAACAGTATAATCTGATAATCACGAATTCATGATTAAAATTCCTTCTTTCTTCACTGAATCACGCCTATCAAAGTATCAATCGATCGATCGGATTTTGGCAAGATTTTCGCTCTCCTCTCCTCTCTATCCCAGTTCTCACTTCTCACTTCTCACTTCTCACTTCTCACCAAGGCCGGAACGTAATCGCTATTTCTTTTTCTGGGTTGCTCTAATTCAAATTTTTATCAAATTTACTGTTTTCAGTTTCTTAATTCTCCTACTCGAGGTAACTTCTGTTTTTGCTTTAATTGAATGATAGATAAGTTTCATGTTTGGGAAACTCTGTCTTTTGATTAAATAACATAAATCATGTTTTATTTTTCATGCGTAATTCTGATTTATGCTTTTAATTCTTAGGCTGAAACTTGAATTTCTAATGGATTGGTGAAAAACAAAGCCAGAACCTTTGATTTGGTTTTATATTAGTTTTGACTTTAGTAATTTGTTAATTTGGATTGCATGAGAAATCGACCTAGCTAGATGATGTAATTGAGAACATAACTCTTTTACTATTGAACTTTTGTGTAAATATATTACTTCTGTTGGAGTTACTCATGCTCATTAGTTTCGCAGTCAATTTTAGTTGATGAACATCTTGTACATCCATTTACATAACCATGAATATTCACAAGAATTATAAAGTTATGCAAACAGAGAAGAATTTTGATTGCAACTGATTTTTATCTTGTTGGAAAAATGCAGATGTCGGAATATCTATGCGAAGATTTGATCGTTGAAATATTTACAAGACTAGCACCGAAATCCCTCCTCCGATTTAGATCACTCTCTAAATCGTTATATACTTGTATTTCTACCCTTGGTTTTATACGCATGCACACTCTTAGATCCCAAAAAAAATCCACTTCATTCATCTAATTAGCGATGACAAAAATGAAAAACAACAAGAATTCTTTTACACATCACATGGAGAGGAGGAGGAATTGGCATTGTATTTGTGTCCCAAACGTGGATACATTGATATAACAACAGAAGTCCCGTTCCCTTCTGGCGCACCTATTGGTTCATGTAATGGAACTTTCTGTTTGTGGACTAAAAAAGGTTTGATTCTATGGAACCCTTCAATCAGGCGCAAACTAATCGTGCCTGAATTTCCTCAGAGATCTGAACCCTTTACGTTGCGAGGGATTGGGTTTGGATTCGATCCAATCAGTGATGACTACAAAGTTGTCCAGACATCAAATGTCAAAGGCAACAATTCATTTGTTTATGCTGTGAAGAGTGGCACATGGTGTGAGATTGCTTCCCCTAAACATCAAAATCAGATTCAGAGTATCCGTTACGATTCCTTTTTTTTCAATGGAGTGTTGCATTGGGTGACATATATTAATCAAAGAGAAAAGAAAACCGGATGCATTAGTTGTATACTAACATTCAATTTGAGCACTCATGTTTTTGATATGATTCCAGTGCCTATGTCCGTTCGGATTTGGGTGACATCGGGACTAACAACCATGCAAGGTTCTTTAGCTTTGATTTCTTGTAATGATGAAATTAGTGAAAGTTGGATTCGGGTATGGAGAGATGCTTCGTGGTCTGTGGTTTTTAAATTGAAAACAGATCAACTTTTTATTTTAGGTGTTTTGGAATTGCATCCGCAAGCTTTGTTGCTCAATACTTTCTCTCATGGGCTCCATGTTTATAATCTCAAGACGGGGGTGTCATCAAGAGTAGGCGACTTCAATGCTGCTTCAAGTTTACGTAACTTTTATCAGTGTGTTGAAACCCTTCATTTGTTAGACATGGGGGAGACTATTGCTGAAACGGAACTACATAACTACTATGAAAGAAAAAAAAATAACAACATTACATTTTGAATTTTGACGCATTTTAATTACCATTTTGGTATTTGTCATTGGTACAAAAGTTTTTTTTTTTAGTGAATAAATTAACATATATGTAATTTCCTGCCTGTTTGCCAATAAAAGAGATATTATTGAGGGTAAAATTGTTGATGATTGATGATCACATCAAGTAGAATATACCGGTAAAATCATATATGAGTGCATTTAGAACTTCATATATCATCTGCGTTTAGAACTTCATATATGATCTGCATTTTGTCGAGCACCTACTAGGTGTCTGTGCTATGAGCGCATCTAAACCACTCAGCATATTATCATATTTCAGAACCTGGAAACAAGCAAACTGGTCACACAACTATAAATAGACTAAATTAAACCCTCAAGTTCTTAAAGCATCAAGTTTTACATGAGCTTGGCTCGTGGTGGATTTAAAATGCTCGAGCTCGGCTTGGGCTCGACTTGTTTGTCAGACCTGCCTAAATGCGCCTAACCTCGGCTTAGCTAATAGTCAAATATCAAGCTCATTTGTGTTTTTAAGCTTGATAAAAAGTTTGGTTATCATTATTTGATATTTAATATTTAATTATTAGTAGACTACAGTGGATCATGCATAGCAATGTTATATCTGATCCATAGTAATGTTATATCCTCTAGATCTATGGATGTAGGCTTCAAAAAAATTGGTTTTATCCTACAAAAGGGCTTAACGGCGCAACTTGTTGCCCGTTCGCATTTTCATTCGTTGTATGATGATAAATAATAAAAGTATTATTAGTTATAAATTAATATATAAAATTAAAATTAAAACATATATTATATAAATTTGCATTGGCTTGTTTAGGTGTGACAACCCCAAATCTATTGCCGCTACAAATCTCATCTTCACTAACGGAATGCGTCGATATATGTTATTTTTCCGTAATGTTGGAGTCGTCAATAAACAAATCTCTAGTTATGTATATGTCCCGATATTATCATAAGTAATTATAACTTGTAAGTGTTAACCCCGTTTAACTAAATACAGTTATATTACTTTTCAACCACTTCACCCGGGTAAAAGGTTTTGACCCCATTAAACTTTAGCATTGGGTAGCCGTGTACCGGGTGCAATACCCGAGACATATATAAGCAAATGAACACCACTTTTAAGCCTTTTACCACTCATTCACTCTCTCTCTCTCACTACTTTCTCTCTCTAGATCCGAACCCGACTCCAAAACCGCGAATTCCGGCTTCCAAACGTAAGGGTTTCTTCCCTACCTTGTTCTAATCATAGTCTATAACATTTAGAGGCCAAAAATCAAAGAATTTAGTGGATCAAAGGGATTTTACAGCCTAGGAAGCCCCTTAGGCCGTAAACACCTAAAACCTTGCCAAAACCCCCATTTTTCCTTCCTTTAAGCTTGTGTACTAATTAAGGGATTTACCTAGGTGAGTTTGGACATGAAAACACAAGAATTTGAAGCCTAAAAAGGAGTTTACGGCCCAATCTCATGCTTAGGCCGTAAACACCCAAAAACCCTTGAAAAATGTCCCAAAAACTCATCTAGGGCATGGAGTAAATTAACTATGAACCTTGGAAATGTTTAAGGCCACTAAACAACACAATTTAGGGACAAAAAGAGGAGTTTACGGCCAAGAATAGTCTTGGGCCGTAAACACCCAAAAATGTTGCCAAAAAGTTCCTAAAACCCCACCTAAGGCCTTCATAAATTTATCTAAGGTGTAGGAGAGTGTTTTGGACCATTTAACATGCCATTTTGAAGAACAAAATGGAGTTTACGGCCCAAGCACAAGCTTGGACCGTAAACTCCCCAAAATGAGGATTTAAACCCTCCAAATTAGTCCAAGAAACTTGCTAGGAATTTAGGGAAGTGAAATAAGGCCTTAATTTGCAATTTTGGAGGACCACATGAGTTTACGGTCAAGCCTAGGGAGCTTACGGCCGTAAACTCCCAAGGAGTGGCCTTTGGGCCGTAAACTCTAAGGGAGTGAACTCGTGGGCTTTCCCGTAAACTCCTCTTGGCCTTGTACCACTCCCGGGAACCCCTTATAGGCCCTAAAACCCCGAATTGATGCTAGAATGCCTAAATACTCTAATGAAAAGTATAAAAATGATTAATTTCTTGTAAAAATACATATTTCATATGACATTAGGGTCCTAAAAGGTGCACAAGTCGTTATTTGGTACAAAACGCTCAACCGACTCTTTTACCCAATTACACGATTTCAGGTGAGTTCATACCCCTTAAATGAACCTTTCAAATGTTTTATATGTTTTAGGGGGGGATACAAGTTGATTATACATGTTTATGGAAAGTTACACAAGACAATTATTCATGTTACGAGAAGTAATCACATGTGATTCACTACCCGTAGTTCATCTTTCAATCTAGCCTTTGTCATGAGGAGGCGAAGGTCCGCATTGCATCCTGTCTTCTGAAGGAAAAAGATCTAGACTGGTGGGAGGAGGTTGGGCACGCCTTGGGAGGTGAGGCGATTAAGTTGATGACTTTGGAGGATTTTATGGCGAGATTTCAAGCTGAGTTTTCACTTGTGATTGAGGTCCAGCAGTTGGCGAGGGAGTTTCAGGACCTTCGCCAAACTACTGAGACGGTAGC